CATCGAGTATAGGAATAAAATTGTGCAAGATGGTATAAAAGTATGTACTACACTTTAACACTGGGAACCACAAGAAAGTTAAATAAATGTTAATTTTTTACTGTCGTTGAAAAGAAAATAGTCCGTGGTTGTTGCACAGTGTTATTAACATATTTTAAAATTTGTATCTGGTTTAAAGATCTCTAGGGGAATTTACGTATTCTCACAAATCTATCCGATATGTGCGACGTGTTTATTTAACTTAATTCATCTGCTGCCTGCTGTGGATCGAGCAACTGATCGATAGAATTGTCCTAAACTGTTTTAAAACGCTTTAAAAATGCTCCAAACTTTTCTGGTATGTGCGACTATTTTATGGCAACCTGTTTTTATTCGTCAACCTTTCCAACCATTTGACAACTTTTATATTATCGGCAACTCAAAATTTGTAGTATTCTGTAGTGCGTATATTTTATTTAAAAATCTGATATAATGCGTTTGCTCAGTCGTAAAAATCTAATCAGATTGAAGCTGAAAGTCTAACGAATCGTTCACCCAGCCGGGAAAAGTAAGCTTCTATTACTGACATAAACAGATTTTGTAATGTGATCGCCGGATGGTTTTTAAGTTAATATTTGGTGATAGTTTATTTTTCGAACTAAGTTTGTTTCAACAAATGCATTTCGTCTAGAAAATCCTCTGGTGAAGTTTTAATACAAAATTATCCATTCTGAAGAAACTTGCTTGTATGCTGCAGTCTATTTCAAGAACTGTCATGACATTTGTTGTATTGTAATTTATCCAACCTTACATTGAATTAAAAAAAGACATTGTTGTTACGTTTTACACTATGGAATCGTTTGAATACGTGCAGTGAAGTGTTTTGGTGACAAAATCCAGAGAGATTATCGTTTCAATTTTGGTTGCCGAACACAGTCACTTCTTGCCGACGACGTCATTTATCATAGAATGTCAATGCAGTTATAGAGATTAAGATTGTATTTTCATCAAAGTTGTGAAATGATGGTTCACTCCGAGCATAGCTGCAAACACGGCAAACCTCTTTGCTCTCATAATTAATCAATCTCAAATTGTACAGAAAACAACATTTTAAACATGACACATCCGCCATATTCATTTGTCTCATCCGTCAATCTTCTTTGCTACAATCCCCACGGTCTGCATATACAACAATGATGATGCCACTTCTGACATGAATGCCTCAAATCCAACTGTCCACAATGTAATACACACATACTCATCAATCCATCGAAAAAAAAAATACACACGTGCTGCTCGCCTCGCCTCGCCTGCGCAGCTATTTATGTGTCACCAGATGGCGATGGAACACGAGTCCAAGCAGAAAGAACATGCGGCCGCCAGCACATCCACACCGCAAATACCCACCAGCGAGCATGTAAGTTGCATGAGACCATTGCGAGAATTTACCTTCGCTGTCAGCCAATAATCGAGCCTCTGCTTTGGTTTTCATGCAACTTGTCTGATCGTCCCGAGTAATGCTCTAATACAGGCTTCTATTGCTTCTAACTCTCACTTGGCAAATTAGTTTACCGTCCTTCACATAATCCATAAATGTCATATTGTAATTCAATGTTCTGATTGTTACGTAATCAATTTGAATGTATTCTAACCGAACTATTCTCCATGTCAGTCGATGCGCGACGCCAACGTTCCAATCATCTGGGTCCTCGGTGGCCCCGGTTGTGGCAAGGGAACGCAGTGTGAAAAAATCGTAGCCAAGTACAACTTCTCGCACTTCAGTACCGGTGATCTGCTGCGTGATGAGGTTGGCTCCGGTTCGGACAAGGGCAAGGAACTGCAGGAAATGATGAAGCAGGGCATTCTGGTACCGAACGAGACCGTACTGAAGCTGCTGGAAGCCGCCATGGCGAAGGCCTTGACCAGTACCGTCGGCTATCTGATCGATGGGTAAGTAAGGTTTTGTATTCTTATTTGTGGTGAATTATCTCTAAAAAAACACAATTTCTTTATAGATATCCTCGTGAACCAGCACAGGGTCCGGAATTCGAGAAATTCATTGCACCAGTTGACATCATCTTGTACTTTGAATGCTCAAATGTAAGTAACTCTCACTGCTTTATTGAAACTATCGAGACGCTTTAATCTTTGTGCACTAGGATGACAGTTGATATGATCCAGATTTTCGCCATATCGTGCGCGTACTGGATGTAGTTGTCCAAATATGGATCCATGATGTACTTCATTTTGTAGTGCACTCCTTGACCATCTTTTTCGACGATCGAACAAATACTCACAATTCTGTACCGAGAATAATTATAACCTCGGATTCTATCCTTGATGCTTTTCGCTATCTTTTGACTCATCTCGAGGTTCTTGTCCGGATTGTAGACCCATTTCACCAAATCGCCATCCTCGTCACGGATGATGAATTGCGATCGAATTACCTTCTGCATCATAGTTTTGATCCTATTCACGTTGAATGGGGCAGCGGCGATCGTTTTCTCCTCTTCCTCTTTGTTGATGTATGTGTTCAGGTCCTTGGACACATCCTTGTACTTGTTCTTACGATTTCCCAATGCTGCCGTAAGCGTTTCGGAGAATCGCGTACTCTGCGAAACGGGAGCGACTCCTCTAAAAAAATATGGATCGAATATCAAAAACATTTATCATACATTTTTAAGGAATCCATCACTTACTGCTTTCCGCCGCTGACTTTCAGTGAACCCCACACAGCCATCGGTGATGATTACACTTTGCCTAATCGATGTAGGACACCCGTTTGTAAAGAAATTATTGATTTTCCTTTTCCAATGCACACCAATGCGAGAAACCGAACCAGCGGCACCTGCCTGCATGTGCATGCAAGTTCAGAATAGAAATGATGCACCAATGTGCAGCGATACAGTGCAAGAACTGGAATTTTTGGACTTGTACCATTTTTGTTAGCGGGCAAATGCATCAGCGAAGTACCGACCTATCAATTAGCGCGTGACACGTGGTTCGTGATTCCGTTGTTTCCGCCGATGGTTGCTCGCTTTTGCTGTTGTTTATTGGCTATTTGTACATACCAGTATGCTGCAGAAGGACAGAATATTGTTGTAGCTTATGTTGTAATGCTCTACTTTGTATGTGCGGTAGTCGAAAATAATTAAAATTGATACTGTATTCAGTGAATGAAGGTCTATGGTGGAATTCAGCATTTTTTGAGCTATTTCGAGCGGACCGTAGCCTCTTTATATTTTGAACTATTTTAGCAACAACAGCAGAACACGTTCAAATTTGTATGCAAGTCATTTTCCGGTAGGTGCTTCAATACACTTGTTCAAACTTGTACACGTAAGACTCAAAATATTTGAGCTGAAAACTAAGTTACAGCATGTCAAAGTTGACTAGACCTTGAAAAATATTAAAAATAAGGTGTAAAGGCAAAAATGATGCATAAATTAATCTAGAACAAAAGATATGGTCAAACTAGGTTCGACTAACGATACATATGTAAAGACACTAAATAACAGCTACTAAATTAAAAATTTAACAAAATGAAAATAAAAAATTCACTTCCTAAAAAAAGGTTTAAACATTGGCACATGTAATATAAATTTTAAAATTTGTAAATTTGTGTTTTGTTCACCGAAAACTAGACATTTGAGTAAATTTTGTTCGCTAGTTGGCAGACGGACTGCGCTGCGCATTTTCTTACTTGAATAAGATATTTGAGAGAATTTACTAAAAACATTATAAATGCCTTAAACCTATTCACTACCTTATTTTCATTATAATGCATCAACAGGAAACTCTGGTTGCCAGAATTATGAAGCGTGCCGCGGAGTCGGCCACCATCCGCGCTGACGACAACGAGGAAACGCTCAAGACTCGCATTGCCACCTTCCGGGAAAACACGGAGAAAATTTTGGTCCAGTACCCGACGCAGTTGAGAAGAGTAAGTATAATTCCGTTTAATTCGCCGAATAGCGTTCTGAAAAAATGCGTACCATTTCATTGCAGATCAACGCCGAACGTGCCCCGCTCGACATCTTTGCCGATGTGGAAAAGAGCATTGACGAGCTGCTGTCCACCAAGGGCAAGAAGGCCTAAAGAGGAATTGACTAATCTGGAGATGAATTTTAACATTACCCATACACACAAAACACAGACACGGGTGCTGTTGCTGAACTGGTGCACACAATTTTTCTTCGCATGAAATGCATCGTTGTTGTTTTCAATCATATTAGCTGTTTCGCCTAAAGCCGGTCAATTCAATTACGCTTAACGTAAAGCAACAAGTTTTTAATGCAACAAGAACAATGAATTCATACGAAATCAATGAAACTGATAACAATAATACTTTTTAGCGTAGCTCAAAGCAAAATTCAAACTCGTAGTAGGGTACTGTGGTAGTAGATTACGTATGTTTCTTATCCAGGCTCTGTAGCTAGACCGAATGATATTAATCATTGTCGGGGCTCAATGAAAATCGATGATTACCAAAGATTTTTTTTTTACTGTTTATTTTTATTTCTATGTCTAAGCTTGTTAAATAAATGAACTATTCAAAACTGAAAATAAAAAGAAGATGTCAGTGCTAACATTTGAAAACGGCACAAGAGCCATTTGTAAACAAATGGTTTGTGGGCCCTTTACTCACTACTTGAAGTACACCCACGCGACACAACAGCAACATCGGGTAGGGGAAATTTTCCCCTTCCTGACGATGCTGTTGGTTTGCGTGAGCGTTCTTCGGGTAGCGAGTAAAGGGCCCACAAACCATTTGTTTACAAATGGCTTTTGCGCCGTTTTCAAATGTTAGCACTGATGTGTTTCATGGTGGCACAGCGCGTCTACTGGGGGCGATTCGATTGTTGGGACGTTTGAGGGAACATTTCTGTTTTAGCCGAGCGGCATGCACCGGAGGTCCTGATGTGTGCAATTCACAGATGAATCGAATCGATTTGTTGCAGCTTTGGACGGTCCAGGAGCTATTTGAAGTTATGGCTACGCAGCCCGGTTGGCGAGTTTTGCTGGAAGTGGAGTAAATTATGTCGTTTTCATTTTTACAGTGTAGCACAGTGGCCGGATCCCGGACTATTCTTATAACAAGTGTGTTTTTATTTTCGTTATTTTATATTTTTATACGTTTTCCGCACATTGAATAACATTTTCTTAAAATTTCGTGATTATTGGATATGATTTCATTTTTTGACATTTTGAATGTTGCTTAGTTAGCGGATTTTGATGAATTGTATGTTCAAAAACCATCAATTTAAGGCTCATTTAAAATACCTGTTACAAATTAAATTTTGACTCAATTCAAAATATTTAATTTCCAGCCAGATTCTGAATAATTTTAGGTTTTGCCCGACTTTAGTATGGAGGCCCGCAACTGTGCGGTGTAGTGGCGCCAGGAAGCAAAAGCTAAGCTTAGCTTGTTTGTAAACAAACCTACACCCCACCCGGTGTTTACACCCTGTATAATGTTGGTGTAAAGTTTACCGGTGTAGTGCAAGTAAAAGCGGACACAACAAAAGTTAATTATTCGATGCAAATATTCATATACTGTTTTAAAATCATTTAAAACAGTATATGAATATGAATATGAATATATAATTGGGTCAAAATTGAATTTGTACCAAAGATAATCATGACAATGAATCATTGTACATAGTTAGAGTCTTTTTAAGGGGATTCTGATGCCTATAAGATCTTATTTGCCAGACCAGTTTGGCCCCTTCATAGCTATTTTGGCGTTTAATCTTCTTCTAGGCTTTCTAAGTTTCTGTAGCGCCCCCCTCTCAACTTAGTGTTTTAGATGCAGTCGTTAATTGAGAGCTTTCTATGCCAACCGATGCATGCATTTGTATGTTTTTTTTTAACTAGTTTGTTTATTTACTAGGCTCAGTCGTGTGTGACACTTTGCGGATCCATAAATCCGTAATTTTTTAATTAACATTTTAAACAGCAGTAGTTCTAGGTAAGTATTGGGTACCAATTACTCGTGGCGGGCTCGAGGTTAATGGGTAACAATTTCGATTGGAAGGAGCTAGGTAAGAAGCAGGTTTCTGAAGCCTCCTTCAGATACTACTCTCGAACGGTTGACCAAATGCTGGCTGGGCAGGGGCAAGTAGCACAGATACAGATGGATAATAGGACTGGGACACAATGACTGGAAAATGTGTGGATAGGAGAGGATAGTCACATCAAACTCTAACATCAGACAAACAAAGGAATTTGTAGTTTGCCTGCATGTTGGGAAGATCACGGGTTCCCAATACATCTCTTACTTCACGGAAGGTTTGTCTATCTCAGGCCACTAGGGTATCCAATAGTCGTGCTCTGGAGGTGTCATTACCCGGAAAATGCCAAACTGCGTGATCGATGTCATCATAACCGGTTCTGCACCTACATATATGGCTGTCAATGAGGTTTATTCTGTAGAGATGTGCGTCTAGCAAGTAGTGGTTGGACATAAGTCTTGACATCACGCGAATGAATCCCAGACTCACATCCAGACCTTTGAACCACGCTCTCGAAGAAACATTTGGAGTTATGGAATGTACATACCGTCCTAGAGAACTACTTGTCCAATCGTTTTGCCAACTTAGAAGAGAACTTTGACATACTAATGGGAAAAATTCATTCTTCTATAACAAATCTCGCCTTGTTGTGCACCCACCTTTGCGAGAGAGTCTGCCTTCTCATTGCCTGGGATTGAGCAATGTGAGGGGACCCATACAAAGGTAATCATATATGATCTTTCGACCAGCAAATTCATCTGCTCCCTTACCTTTGAAAGGAAATAAGATGAGTACCTACCCTGTTTCATCGACCTAATAGCTTCAATCGAACTGAGACTAGCCGAGAAGATGAAGTAATGGTTTGTTGGCATGCCTGAAATCATCCCCAATGCGAAGTTGATTGCTGCTAGCTAAGCAACATAAACGGAACAAGGTTCCTGAAGCTTCCGGAAGGCGGTTGAGTATTCAATGCGTGATCCATCTGTGAACAATCTTCTATTGCAAAGAATTTGTATGTTGTGTGACAAACACAATGATACTCTAAGTCCAGGTAAATCTAGAAAATTTCCAACATGAAAGATTTCCTCGACCAGACCAGACCAGAGAATCGAACCCGCGCATCTTGCTAGGTAATATCGCGCCTTTACTAACAAGGCTAGTATATGTTTTAAACCGAAAACCTGTTAATATTACTTTCAAAGCTTCACAATCAGCGATTTTACGATTCGTGAGCGCTCACTCAGAGTGAAGTTCACGAATCATAAAATTACTACCTGACGGTCTAAAACCAAAACTTACAGGTTCAGTGAGTCAAACACACACTTTACAAGCTCTTCTTGTAACTCAAAAATATCATCATAACAACTAATGATTTCAGAATTCCGAAAAACATATTTTTTAGCATGGGAATGGAAGCAAGCCTGGTGGAAGAAGCTACCTGACGATACTTGCAAACAGGCGGCTGCTGTTGCTGGACATCGCTTGCTTCAACTGTTTTTCTCGATCTCGGGGTTCATCACGTCCATTTTACCGCCAACAAGCATCTCAACTTCTTCCTTTATTTCCTTGACGTTTTGTCCAACGATTTAACTTCCAGCCATCATCCAGTGTCGCTCCATCTAGCATAAGAAATATTTGTTTTTAATCTCATCGTAGAATAAATATGTTTCTTCCGAATTAGGAAATAAAGTGTGAAAGAACTTTATTTTTTCCAGTCCATATACACACCTCGTACACCACGGTGTGCATGTTGAGACCCAGTTCCACATGGAGTTTCTCCCGAACAAATCGTTTATTTTTTCAGTATCTTCCCAACACCAACGCTAGATCGTGATCCGTGACATAGGTGATATACCTACCTTCATTCCCTTCCGCATAATGGAAATTTATTTCATTTCAGTTGTTCATAAATGTATCTATACACAAGCATGGGAAAATTCATTCAATCGCGCGAGTACTACAGAAACAAAATAGTCATTCTCACCTACAAACAGATTGCTGAACGAGTGTAAATTCTTCGAACCAAGTGACTGTACAGGTGGACTCGGAAGTGAGTAGAAGGAATGAAGGATAAACTGAAAGGCAGTCGAACAATTTTCTCGACCGAGAGAGAATCCGACTGAATACATAAAACCGAAAGCAAACGATTGAAATAGCCGAGTGAGAGATTTTTTGTCTCAGTGAGATAAATTAGTTGAATTTGCGATAGCAGTTTTACTGTATTTGCGTGACGCTTGGGTTTATGTGTTACAATTCAACATTTTAGTCCATGTTGATACCAATTTAAATGTGACAATTTATGTTTTATGCTAGAAAATAAACCTAATACTACACTCAAAATCATTCATGCTACGCTCAGCTGTCTGTTTAGCTCAATTTTGCATTCATCGAAGAAAATGGAAGCAATGAAAATGCGAACGAAATCAGTGCGGCTCTCACCAAGATGGATAGATGTATAGGTGGAACAGTACTCACGGTTCGCTAGTGTTGATGAGTTATTTGCCGTTAATGTTCTTGAAAAGTTCACTATTTTGCTATAAAAGGTGCCAAAACAAAACAAGTTTACGGGTGGATTTGTACATATTTGAACTTGTTTCATACGACCAAAAGGTGTATGCTGGTCACAAACGACTTGCCAAATTGATTTACTTCGCAAGTGATGTGAATTTCGTAAATAAGCATGAGGAGGAATGATTACAGCAAAACTTGCCATATACAATCGTCTTAGTCTTAACAAACTAAAGGCCGGCGCATAATGGATACGTTTTCAGGTTTTTTTTTGACAGTTAGCCCATTCATTATCTGTCAAAAAACCCGAAAACGTATGCATTGTGCGCCAGCCTTAACACTTCTTCCGTCTGTCAGTCCCATAAGTTCCAGGATGTCAGTTCCCATAATTTAAATCTAACATACCATACCATTGAGGCTGCAATTTCAAAAACCAAAGTCGGCATGGAAGTGGTCTGATTTTGATCCAGAGATGATGGATTTTAATTTTTAATACGCCAATCGATAGGAAAATTTTCTACAAATCTGTTAAAATTAAGACTTTATCAAATTTCAAAGGTCACTGTTGAATTTTATCAAGAAGTTCCTCCAACCGATTTTCGTTTTTTTTTATTATCTATTGAATAAAAGGGAAATTCCGTGCGTTTTGTGGACGAAAATGCGTAATTTTGTCATCAAAAAACGATGCGTTTCCGTGATGGGATAAAGTGGTTTCCCTAACACACACACTTAGAAAAAATAATGTAAATTTAGGTACTCAGAGACTGACATATACGAGCGTAAATTACAATTACAAAACATACAATTGAGTCATAATAGACGCTGATTCAGCTCAATCAAACGTACTTTCGAACTTTTCAGTCTCGGAACACTTAGTTTTGAATGACATGTTTGTTTACGTCTCATCCTTTATGTCAAAGATGGATTCTGTCACGTGTAAAATTAGTTATTTCTAAGTGTGCAGTTGCCGAATTTCGATATCAAGCACGTAATCCTACACTAAATCTACGGTCGTGTCTAAGATACAATCTTTTTAAATTATAGGATGAACGCTCCTATAATAATGATACATCAGATTCGTTTGTTCCTTCCTTATAGGAGCGTTTACCCTAAACACTTCAACACTCTTGACTAATTAATTCGTGACTTACCTGGGGATGATTTTTGAACTCATGACTTTGCGTGAGAGGTATGAATGTTTACCACTACGCCGGGGCCATCCCCTACAGCAGTGGTGCTCATCCCCATGTTTTCAGAAGCTGTATGCTGTTCGATGGTCATATTTTAAGATGAATTTTGCGCATTTCCCAATCATTTTGGCCATACATTCGTAGTGCAAAAAGAAATTCAAGCTGAGGTTGTTCCATTATCGAGATCCAAGCATCACGTGCGGCCGCGGGTCGCATTTTACCCATCACTGCCTTACTTCTCTGACTTGAACTTGAACTTCCATCTCAATAGAATTTGCACCCAGTGCCTTGAAATCGGAAATCTCCCCC